GAAATTTAATCTCCTTTTTATAGTTATAACATATATATAATTTACAATTTATTTTTGTTAATGTTTTCTTGAGAAAGGGGTTGTTTCTCTTTTTGCAACCAACTTTGTTTAAAGCTTCTCATTTCTTTATACAGCATCTCATATAGTAGAGAGATCACGTTTCTTCTAAAACAATATAAACTAAGTAAGTATATTTAATAAAAAATAAAATTTCAACCATCTAAATATATACAATATAAACAACACAAGTGGAAACATAAATAGGATAAATAAATTCATAAACACAAGTTATAATCAAAGTGATGTGGAAAAAAAAAAATAAAAATAAAAACAAGAAGTAGTTTGAAAACAACATGTACTGTGATAATAATACGATATATAATTAATTAACAAATGATGAATAATGAGTGATAACATATTAACAACAGATTAACAACAGATTAACAACAGATAAGATTATGAATTCCGGAACTGAAATACAACACTCAAATGAACTCTCTTTTGCGTTATAATATCAAATCAAGTCAATGTTAAAATACAAATTAAATAGAACAGAAAACAATAAGAAAAAAAAATATATTATACCCTTTATATTAACAAAAAAGAAAATAGAACTCAATGTAACAAAATTTGTAATAGTAAATGTAATAGTAGTATTAGTAGTATTAGTAGTGTAGTAGTAGTAGTAGTAGTAGTAATAATAATAATAATAGTGGTAGTGGTTGAAGTGGTCGTAATCGTTTGTAGAATGGATTTGCTATTGGTATTATGCATGACGAAAATAAATGCTGTAATATAAAGAAAAACAAAAATATTAATAGAAAAAAAAAGTACAAATCATGAAAAAAAAAGTATGATTCACTTTTTTTTCTTTTCATTTATTATTTCATAGTTATATCCAGTGTGATATCATGTCATCTAATCCTTTTTAACTTCACCTTGTTGCTCTTCGATTTCTTCAACTTTTGGTTGGTTATCATCATCAACATCAATTTCGGCAGCACGTCCTTGGTGAGTATCTTCTTCTTCGTCATCTTCTACTTCTTCAACATCATCATCAGCAGCATTTGGATCAGCGACACCAAAATGTGCCAATAAAGATTGAGCAGAAGAGGTGTCCAAATATATCACACCATTTTCATTGGTTATAGCATTTGAAGCCAACAATTTCTGTAAGGAGATGGCTCCGCCATTCAAAGCTGATTCTTCTTCTCCATCTACTTTGTCTTCGTCATCATCATCATACCCACTTCTACCAAAGATGGAGTTTCCATTGGCAGAAGCACCAGCTCCACCAAATGCACCACCAGCTCCAGCATTACTTCTTTGACTGGATTGACCTTGTTGACCAATATCATAATATTCACCATACATTTCTTTATATATGTCATTATAAGGGGCGGAAATTGGACCATATTTAGAAGTTTCGTCTTTATTTTTTTCCTTTTCGGCAATTTCGATTCTGGAAATAATCTTTTCATACCATTGGTCTAAAGTCTCATTCTTGGTGTGGTCTAATAATGCAACAATGACAATAGACATGTTATCACAACCAATACCAGAACCATCAGAAGTTGGGGCACAACATAAATCCATAATTTCTTCGGATATAGTAGTCAAAGTCTTCTTTTCATAAATCCCTCTTCTAACACATTCAACACATTTTTGAGAAGTCAAACAATCCCAGATACCATCACAAGCCAAGACAACAAATTCATCAGTTTCGAAATCAATTTCATGTTGTATCACATCAGGATAACAAGTGACAATTTGTTCTTCAGCTGGTAAATCGACATTCTTTTTAAAATCAAAATCACCGATACCACGAGATAAGGCCAAGTTACCATTAACTCTACCCATATCAACGTAACCACCGGCAGCACAGATACGCGCCTTTTCACCTTCGTTTGAAGGTTTATGATCAAAAGATAAAGCTTTAGCATAACCATTAGTAGACATTATAGTTCTAGAATCACCAGCATTACCACAAACAATTAAATCTTTGGTAATAATGGCAGAAGTGGCAGCACAACCACTATCATCATCTCTCATGTAAAAATCATTCAAGATAGCTTGATCACAAGCCAAGAAACCTTGTTTCAATGCATTGATATAATCCTTCTTGTTGAATTCAGCAGTTGATTTAACCAATTGATGTAATTTTTCACCTGTGAAAATGGCAGCTTTTTCACCACCATGACCATCATAAACCCCAAAGAATGCAATATGGTCCTTGGAGTTATCAGTAGTTTCATCATCCATTTGCGTGTCATTATCAGCATCTTTAACATCTTGAGAATTATCCTTTTGAGTAGATTCAGTAGATTTAGATTCTTTTGATTTTTCATCTTCTTCGTCATCTTTTTTAACCGGTAAGTTGTACAAATTCAAAATGGTAGCATGAGAATCTTCCATATTGATTCTCCAACCTTGCATACAGGATAACCCATAAGCCAAGTATTTATCTTTACCTTCTTCAGAATGTTTTTCAACAACTGGCTGTGAAAGTATTTGTCCCATATCTTATTTTTTAAATGATATTTATATGTATGTTTTATGTATTGATTTTTATTCAATAGTGTGGCTTCCCTTTGATTATTTCTTGATTACGATCCAATATTCTTACTATTATGGGAAGGTGATTCAAATCTAAATTAGAAAAAAAAAAATTAATGGCAATACTCTTCAGTGTTAATGAAGAGAAGTTATTAATTGGGTTTGGTTTTTTTTTTCTTCTTTTGTTTTTTTCTGATTCTAATTCTGTAGAATTAATTGATTCTATAGTTGATAATATACACGTGAAGTTAATTCCTTAAATGATAATTATAGGTGTATGTATATATATATAAGCTTTTGTTGTTGGTATTGTATAAGTATGTGTGTGTAATGTGAATGTTATGATGATGAAGAGAGTGGATATGATGGGAATTGAATTAATATTGGTTTTATTGATGATGAGTTTTTTTTTTCTTTTTCTTTTTTTTTTTTCTTCTCAATCTCACTCTGTTCAAAGAACACAAACAACAACAACAACAACAACAACTAAAAAAAAAAGAAATACAGTAAGCGTGAGCAAATGTGTGTCTGTGTGTGTATGTCAGAAATTATTTGTTGCCCTTAACTTAGGTTAATTGTTATTGCCTCTGTTTTCTTCTATTTAATAGGATCAATTGTTAGAGATTTATTATTGTAGAGAAACTTAAAGCAGAACCTTTCTTTACAATTCCACGTGATCAGTAATAGACTAGGGTAGGGGAAGAAAAAACAAAAAGGGTCACGAGCCAATTTAAAACAAGTTAATTAATTTTGCCATCGAAATGCATTAAATTAAATTTTTGAAAACCCAAATTATGTATTTCTCTACACGCACACACACACATATTCAAACAATCTGCAATGAATAACTTATTGACAACAAGAACACGAACAATTAAGCACACAGAGAATAGACAAAGTGTCATTTCTTTTTTTTTTTTCGTCCGTCCGTTCGTTCGTTGGTTCGTTCGCTCGCCCCGTCCGTTTTATCATTCTTCTTCACTTTGCAATTTATAAAATTTCTTTTTTTTCAGTTTCTATTGTTTTGTCTTCTCTTACAGTAAAGGGGAAACAAAGTGAAAAATAAAAATTAATCTTTTGACTTCGTTCAGTCACGTGATCACATAACTATCAACACTTTAATGTTTTTTTTTACAACCAATATCTATGTAAACATCCTCTTGTTGCAAATAAACTAATAAAGAAACATAACATTAAAAAAATTTTGTATAACATATTCAGTGTATATAACTTCTATATAGATATATGTATGTAGGTGTGTTTTAGAATTGATTCAACTATCTATCTATCTTTTTACTCTTTCATTTTTATTTTTACTTTATTTTTTTTGGTAAACTCTATTTGGGTCCCCAGATTCCATTCCCATTATCAAAAACATTATTGGTGCTAGTATTGTTATTTGTACCACTTGAAGTTCCACCTAATCCTAAACTATTCAATTTAGATGAAAGACTAGCATTACCAAAGTCATCGACTCCTCCTGATCCACCAGCACTTGGTAAGGTTTGTGATAATGATGTAAAACTAGAAGTTAAATGACTATGTTGTCCAAAGGGCTGAAATCTTGAATTGACATCAGAATTCGCAGTTAAAGGTGTTTGTGGTTGTGAATTAAATCCGTTTCCACTATTTCCATAATACTGTTGTCCTTGAGCTTGTAAATGATGTGTAGTTGGTGAATCATGAATTGATGTAGATTGCCCTTGTCCTTGTCCCAGTTGTTGCTGTTGCTGTTGAATAAATGTATTAGTCAATGGAGGAGTTGATCTAACATCAACATATGATCTATTGCTACTAGATCTAAGCAAAGCAGCCGCACTACTGGAATTTAATGTTGGAGTAGAAATTTGGGGTTGAGTGCCATAACCTTGGGGAACAGTAGATGAAGACAATGGTTGTTGAGTAGAAGTGTGTTGGTACAGGTTAAATGCTGGCAAATAAGGTCTACTTTGTTGCTGTTGCTGTTGCTGCTGTTGTTGTGATTGTAATTGTTGTTGCTGTTGTTGGGGCGTTTGAGCTTGTTGCTGGGTAAAGATACCATATTGTTGTCCCAGTTGAGATGATTGAGCTTGTTGTTGTGGTTGCCCTTGTTGTTGACCTTGTCCTTGTTGCTGAGTTGGAGTTGAGGTTTGTTGTCTCAATCTTGGTAAATGTAAAGCGGATTGTGATTGTGATCTCAACAATTCAGGGTGTGTAGGGACAGCAAAACCAGCTAATTGATTAAGGTTCATCATTGAAGAAGAATGAGAAGCTTGGAGTGATGCATTTTGGGACTGTTGTTGATGGAGCAAGTTTACTGGTTGTTGTTGACCTTGTTGCTGTTGTTGATGATGTTGATGCTGGTGTTGAATAGGTATATTTGGTTGTTGAGTAATTGTTTGGGGAATATGTCCAGGTTTTCTTCTAACAATAATCAATCCGTTATCAAATAATTCTAATAAATTCAAATAATTACAAATAATAGATATGATTTTTCTTTGGCTAATGTTTAAATTAACTGGGGAGATGGCCAATTCAAATATAGATTTGGTAATATCATCACGGTACAATACAAATTGTGTGTACAATTCTAAAACTTCAGGATCGTTAAAATTAATTTCCATAGGAGGAATATTAAACAGGGCATTATTAAATGGCAAACTTAAAAATAAACGTTCAGTCGTATGCGATGGTGTGGTGCCAGCAACACTCAAATTTTTCGTGGCAGCAGTAGTTGAAGCTGCAGAAAGTAATGAAGCTAAAGAAGCATTTGAAGCTGAACGATGCTGCTCTTCCAATTGTCCTCTTTTTTCTCTTTTTTCACGTTCAATTCTTTCTCTTTCTTGTAAAGGAAGCATCTTTTTGTATTCAACTCTTAACTTTCTACCGCCAATTTCTCTTCCATTTAACTGGTTAACAACCAATGAAGTTTCATCAGTAGAAGTGAAATTTGCGAATGCTAGGCCACGAAAAACTCCATTATCAAAATGATAGTTAAAAGCATAAGGCAATGGTAAGTTCAATTTGGTCATGACATCCAATAATTGTTCCTTTTTAATAGCAAAAGGAATATTTTTTATGACAATTGCAGTAGGGATTAATTCGTCATCATCAGCTTCATTAATAGTGGAAGTGTTGGCATTGGTACTGGTAGCAGTTGTACTAGGACTGACATTGGTGACATTATTGTTATTGTTATCATTAGCATTACTTGAATTTTTCGTAACATTAGTAGTAGTAGTAGTAGTGGTGATGGTGTTATTATTAATATTAGTTGTTGTATCGACATTATCATTAGCATCATTAATTGAAGTAGAGGTGGAAATAGATGTATTGCCAGGCGCAGGGGGATTTGTTGGACCAATTTCGGCATTATCTTGTTTACTTTCCAACAGATCAAGGGTTTGTTGCTGTTGTTGTTCTATCCAAGGTCCAACATTAGAAGGAGTAGTTGTTGATTGATTTACCCAAGAAGATTGTAAATTTCGATTTGTTGTTAATCTTTGATTGGATAATTTGGGAGTGTTGTTTCCATGGGTATTTGAGTTACTGTTACTATTTGGATTCCCACCTCCATAGTTTGAAGATGAATACCCAGAAGCACTAGACAATGATGATAAAGAAGGACGGCGTTGCATTACGGTATCCATTAGTCTTTATTTTTTTGAATCTCAAGTAATAGTGAATGGGGGAAGGTTGTATTGCCTTTAAGTTGAGTTATTTTTCTTTCACTTTTTTTTTTGTTTGGATTTGTACTAAGAGTTAAAAGGGGAAAAAAAAATGATTGATTGAGTGAAAGAATTGCACTAAATTTTTTTTCTGTCACTCTTTCTCGCTCACGCTCACTCGCTTTCTCGCTCTCTCGTTGGTGTTGTAATAAAGATTTTGTTCTCACACTTTAAATTTATTTAATTGATTATTTTTTTTTTTCAAGTGAGCACTCACACACACATGGATTGGTTGATTATGTAATCAGTCTTTTTTTTTTTTTTTAATGTGGACGTGGATTCTACTTTTTTTTGGTATTGAACAAAGTACACGTACACCATACTGTGTGTTGTTGTCGCGCACAAAAATTTTCCAGCCTTTTTTTCAATAATTGAATGAATGAACTGAAAAAAAAAAACTTGATACGTAAGTGGTTTGTCAAGATTTTCAATTTGAATCAATCTTTTTTTTATTTTTATATTAGAAAATAGATATATCCAACACATCACAATGGTATGTAATAACTAATCATCATCATCATCATCGTCTTTATATGGATTAATTTATTTATAATTATCGTTAGACATATTTACTAACCCTTTCCATGTTTAGTCTTCATCAGCAGTAAATCAAGCCCCAGGTGGATTAAGAAGTGCAGCCAAAAGAAAGGCTACTCAAGACAAGAAAGCTCAAGCTTCAAGTGCCACCCCATTGTCTACTAGATCAGCAGGTGCTGGTGGTTCTTCATCTACCATGATGAAATTGTTCACTGATGAAGCTCAAGGTTTAAGAGTTGATCCTTTGGTTGTCTTGTTTTTAGCTGTTGGTTTTATTTTCTCCGTTATCATTTTACATGTCTTTGCTAAAATTACTGGTAAATTCACTTCATAAGTTTAATCAATATTAATGTTCTTCCATCCTGCCCCCACTCCATTAATCATTAGAGAAAACAAATATGCATGCACAGGTTAATCATTTCCAATCTCAATCAAATAGATTTATTATCTAAAATTTTTTTTCTATTTCAACAACGAGTTATACATAAATGAAAAACAGCTGGTGTTTGTATAATTTCTATCTGTATAATATAACTTTCAAAAAAAAAAATACAAAGAATGAAAATATAAAAAGGAAAATCGCCAATTTCTATTTAGAATTATTTATCTACATGTCCTTTAATAAACTATTTACAACTGTAATTAAACCATCTTTATGAACATAATGTTTGACATCATTATTTCCATCATCATATTCAACTTTCCAATCATATTCATCCTTATGTTTTTCGTATGCGTGTTTCCAGGTATCTTGGTATTTCTTACCTCTTACTTCAATTTCAACCATTGGATAATGTTTTCCTAAAATTATAGATAACGGAATTCCCATTAAATTAGATTGTTTTAATTTCTTACCCATGGATTCATTTCTATCATCAAGTCTATAATCAATCTTACCATGATTTAATAATTTAAACACTTCCTTAGTTCTTTCTTCGTCTTGGCCAATCTCAACAGCAGTGACCTCCCAAGGAGCTATACTTCTTGGCCAATTTAATCCTTTGGAATCACGATTGATTTGGGCAATAGCTGCTATGATTCTACTAATACCAATTCCATAACATCCCATCATAATTGTTTGTTTGTTCATTCCACCTTCTGCAGTTGGAACATCAATATTACAATTCAATGGTTTGGAATATTTATCACCAAGATAAAATGTATGACCTACTTCAATGGCATTTTGAGCTGATATTTCCCCATCTTCACATTGTGCACAAATTTCACCTTCTTCAGCCAATACAATTGGTATATCTGTTAACGTGGTAATTAAAGAACGATTAATGAACCCAATAGGGAAATCAGGAAATCTTGAACGAGAAGTTAATCTTGAATCCATTATTCTAATTACTCGTTTTGATAAATCTTCAGTTTCAAATTCTTTTAAGATTTCATCTTGATTAGTTTCATTTAAATCTAAATCTGGGATTTCATTTTGAATGAATTTTGGTTCAATAATTCTATTACTTGGATAATAAGCACAAATTAAAGTTGATTTATCAGTTGTTATGAAATATTTCACAGAAATTTCGGCAGATTCATCATAATCTTTAGGATAAGATAAAGTTTTTTCAACATTTGAAGTATGATTACATTCATTACATTTAAATACTGTGTCCTCACCCGTTTCATTGATGTAATGCCATTCATGACTTAAACTACCGCCAATATCTCCTGAATCTGCTTGTGCTTTAACATAAGGAATTTTTAAATCTCCAAATATCTTATGATATGCACCAACTACTTTTTCATAAGTGTTCATTGCATTTGATTCATCTAAATCAAAGGAATATGCATCCTTCATTAAAAATTCTTTACCTCTTAATAATCCACCTCTTGGGCGTTTTTCATTTCTAAATTTTGGATTTATTTGATACATTAAAATAGGTAATTGTTTATAACTTTCTAAATTTTTATTAATATAATCAGTTATTTCTTCTTCTGCTGTAGGTACTAATAAATATTCATCACCTTCAAGTTTAAATATCTCGGTAGATTTATCCCATCGTCCAGTTTCTTGCCATAATTTTTTATAACTTATTAAAGATAAACTTAATTCTTCAAATCCAATTTCATCCATTCTTGATCTAATTATTGAACTTATTTTATTTTGGATTAATAATCCTGATTTTGACCAATTAACTAACCCTGATCTTGGATAAGTTATAAATCCAAGTTTAGTTAATAATTCATGGGTTGGTATATCTTTAGAATATTTGAATTTAGATAATTGGTTCCCGTAAAGTTTAGGAACCTTTTTAATATGAAGAAATCGTTTAATTATCATTGATATGGAAATAGTAAGTGAGAGGAAAATCTGGTATCTGTGAATTTACCTTTGCGGGTTATTGAAAATTTTCTATTCGCGCAATAAAAGAAAACAGAAATCAAAAGATTTGATTGAGTTTTACAACAAGATTATTTCATTTTCTAGATAAATACGGAAGAATATGTAATTACATATATATATAAATATATATCAAAGTTAAAAATAATATAAATGAATAAATACTTAATAATAATAGTGATAATAAGATAAAACAAAAACTACCGAATAAATTATGGTGAGTTCAATGTCTAAGGTATTTAGTCAGTAGCTTATTTTTGATTGAATAATTCATTGAATCTCTTAGAGAAATCATTATAAACATCATCACCAAATAATCTCAAATTATCCACAGATTTTTTGAAATGTTCTTTGGCATCATTCAATTTTTGATTTTTATAAGGATCGTTGGCAACATCGTTAGTGATTTTTTCAAAATTGGTCTTAGCATCTTGAACATTCTTAATGGCTCTATCCTTTTCAGTATCATATCTACCATTAACATGCTTCTTGGTATCTTCCCATTGTTTATTCAAATCATTGATAGCTTTACTCCAGTCCTTTTCAGCTTTAGCATAGTATTTGTTGAATTCAGCAGAAGCATAATCAATTTGTTTGTTAACTTCATTGGCAGCTTGGTTGTATTGCTTATTAGCCCAATTGACGGTATCATTTGCAGCTTTTTCAATTTGTTTATCAGCTTCTTCTATTTTTGGGGAAGACCAATTGAAAAATCCATTTTCAGCTTTTTTAGTAGCATCTTTAACGGATTCTTTAGCATTTTCAGCCTTCTTTCTAGCTTCATCTTTTGCCTTTTGAGCATCGGTTTTAGCTCCACCAAACCAACTGTCAAAAATTGAAGTTTCTTTAACTTCAACATTTGGAGACATGGTAGAATATTGAGTAGTGGTAGTTTCAAATTTACCTTCACCTAATTGATTGATAAAATCAATATATTTTTGGATAGCTTTTCTGGCTGAAGTCTTATCGAAATCAGTAGCATTTTCAACAGCACTTTTATAATCTTCAGTGCTTTTCTTAACATCTTTATAAATTGAAGAATCTTTAACTTGTTTGGTAACAGCATCTGATTGTTTAACAACAAAATCCTTGCCTTCTTCAATCTTCTTAGTCAATTTATTATTGATATCATTAGCAGATTGTTCTAAATTTTTGGTTTGATAAGCCAATTCTTCACGTTGTTTTCTTGGTAAGATTGGTTGAACATATTGGTCATAATAGTAAACACCACCAACAAGGGCAGCAGTTCCTAAAAGATATTTTCCAGTAGACATTTTCTTTTTATATAATTAAACGTAGTTACTTTCTTCAATTGAATTGAATTTTAATAAAGAAAGAAAGAAAAACAAAGTGTAATTGAAATTGAAAAAAAAAAAAATTCTTTTCCCTTTTTAAAAATGAATTGAATTTCTTGTTTGATTACTTGCTATTTAATTTAATTTATTCAATAGAGTGGAAAAGGGGAGAAGAAGGACAACTATTTCCTTATAATCTTAAGGTTGCTATAATTGCTCTCTGTGTGTCTGTCTGTGTGCGTAATTGATAAATAATTTTGTCCATGTCCAGCAACCATGTGTATGACGCAATATATTCCCACTCACAATTGTACAAGACAAAACTATTCTTGACTAACATTATTCGTCAATAGTTGTAAAATTGGATCAGATCCCCATATCGTGAGAACTGGTATCACACATATATAAGTAACAATAATGAAAAAGATGGTTCTAGTAGAATGGCAAATTGTAAGACAAAAGAAGTCGTGCAACAACCTCCTCCACTTTTTTTTTTCTGTGGTTAAATTTTTTTTTGTTTCCCCAAAGTTCGATTTAAATTCCAGGCCAATTTTGTGGCATAACGAGCAAGAATTTGAAACGCTCCGGTCATAAGAGCAACAGCAACTATTCATTTTACCGTGTGACTTTAACTTAATTGTGATATAATAAAGGACCTATGGGCGAATACAAATTACGACACCCATCAATCAAATGTGTTTTATAATTATTAGGAGGTAATATATGATGGGTTTTATACAAACCACGTGCAAAAGGTTCCAGATTCGCGACCCCTTTCTCAGTCAAATTTTCCTTAATTTTTCTTCATCTACATAAGTAGGTTAATAGAGTTTCTCTTCGAATGCTCGTATTGTTTGCAAGTACGGTAGTGTAAGTTTAATGAAAATTGCTAGACTTAATATTGTCGTGCAAAACTAACGTTTGCAAACTTTATTCAAAAATTTATACCAATTTTTGAGCAAATTCTTGTTAATTCTGTTTCCATCTAATAAATCATATTTGGAAATTTATTTTGAATTCAGAGTCGAAAACCCCCTATGGATTACTGGTACTGTTGTATATCAAATGCAATACACACGCCGTGTCTTTCTTAAGAAGATACTCATAGCTTACAGTTTTACTTTCCATGCTATCCGATATAAACGTTTGTCAATAAATTGCAACCACCAGCTCTCTACCGAATAGGGCGTTAACTTCAAAATCTGATCTGGTATGATTCGTATAACTGGTCAGCCACTGCTATTGAATACAAAAGCTACATGATATCTGGCTTTGAAATAAACTCGATTGAAGATTCTTGGCTTGTAGTATTTTGTCAGGGCCGTTTTCTTCGTGTGTCTATTGATCTTTAGCGATGGTTATGTACTTCCAAGATAATCAAACTCCTCAGTTTTTTTTTATTAAGTTTAGTAATATATCTGTAAGCATAACCATCTTTGGTGAATTTAGACATGAAATATAAACATTAAAGTTCATGTTGTCTGCAAAATAGAAAAAACAATGAAAAACGGCAGGGAAACGAATGTAACCAGTTTATTAAAGATACTTCGTCGTTTTGTGATCAGTTAGATAATTTCAGAAAAAAAAATCATAATGAAAGTGTATCTGCGAAGAAGATATTCAATTAACTTACTCTGAATAACTCTAATATCGTCTTTATGTGTATAATAATTGCAAAAAAAAAAGAAGAAAAGAATTCCAGCCTCTGTATCTCACCATACAAACCTAAGAACAAAACGAAAAAAAAAAAAATCATATGTACTCAAAAAATAAAACGTGGTATCATCACAATCATATCCACTGGTCAATAATGAAAAGGAATTTATCGACTAACAAGAACATCAATGTCAAATCTGTGGAGAAATTGTGACTCTTTTACTTTCGCATTTGTAATGTATCAACAACCTATTTCACACACCCCTTGTTGCCTCGCCTTAATGGTAGCAGCGCAATCGTCATTCGTTGCAACATCATAACTTTAAATGAAGTAACTATTAGAAATATAGCATCCTTTGCTTCAATTCTCAAGGTTACACTTCTTAAAACCCGCTTTTAATGATTTATATAAAGATGGTTTGGCTAATTGACCTTATTGGAGTTTTCAATTTTTTTTTTTCTAGATCATAAATATTACAATTATTGATAACCCATTTCGTTCCTTTCATTGAATCGTTTACTTTTAACTACAATCTCATCAATATGTTGTTGCTACAACTAGTAATTACATTATTGACCTCTGTTAAAGCTGTGCTTGCAGACGAAATATCGGGTGTTTTTACCAGTTTTGATTCATTAACGTTTTCCCATCCTAGACTTACTTATACTCCACCAAATTTCCCAACATGGACAGCTGTTTTTGGTTGGGATCTTGAAGGTAGCACTGCTCGTCCAGGAGATGTGTTCACCTTGGTTATGCCATGTGTTTTCAAATTCCTTACCAGTACTCCATATGTTGAGTTGACGGCAGATGGTGTCACTTATGCAACTTGTAGATTAAATTCTGGAGAAGAATTTGTTCTGTTTTCAAGTATGGAATGTACTGTTTCTGAAAACTTGACTCCTTCATCAATTGTCTACGGACAAGTTTCTGTTCCACTTACTTTTAATGCTGGTGGATCTGGTTCAGAAACAGATATTGAAGCTTCTACATGTTTTGTTGTTGGAGAAAACACTGTGACCTTTACCGATGGTGATAATAGTCTTTCTATCCAAGTTAATTTTGAAGCAAATCCTGCAGATCCATCTGGATTACTTAGTTCTCAAAGAGTTATTCAATCACTTGCTAAATCATTAGCTTTGGTAATAATTCCAGACTGTCCCAACGGATATGCTTCCGGTACTCTTGGTATTTCTTCTACTGCGGATGGATACCAATTAGATTGTAATTCTATTGAAGCTGGCTTAACTAGTGGATTAAATGCTTGGAACAATCCTATTGATAACATTGACTTCCCACATACTTCACAATGTACTACGAAAGGTTTTAGTATATCATTTCTGAACATACCAGCAGGGTATAGACCATTTATTAATGCGCTTGCAACAGTTCCAAGTACTGAACAATATAGGGTTGCTTATGAGGTTAAATATACTTGTGTTGGTGGATCATATCGTGACGATTCGATGACAAGATTATGGAATCCATACCAAAGAAGTGAAGCTGATCTGTATGGGCAACCAATTGAAATCATCACTAGAACAGTTACAGAAGCAACTACCTACGTTACAACTTTACCATTTGATTCAGCTACCCAAAGAACAAGAACCATTGAAATTGTTAAACAAATGCCTTTAACAACAATAACAGGCTCATATGTGGGTGTGACAACAAGAAGTACAACACTTCCTTTTGTACTTGGAGAAACTGCTACTGTATTGGTGGAATCGCCATACCATATTACTACAACAGTCACAACTTTTTGGGATGAAGAATACACTTCTACTTTGACAGTTATTGATCCATCAGAATCTATTGATACTGTCGTTGTAAATCATCCAGCTAATCCAACTACCACACTTACTAGTCTTTGGGTTGAAACTTATACTACAACTTTGACAGAAACCCATGGAGTAGGTGAAGCCGATTTTGTCATTGTTATGTATCCACCAAATCCAACGTTAACAACCTATGAATTTTGGACAGGATCAGACACTCAAGAGCTCATTTATACGGATATTGCTGGTGGTACTGATACAATGGTTATTAACGTACCTTCAAATCCAACAGAAACTATCACTGAATTTTGGACTGGCATAATTACTTCTGTGGTCACTAATACGAATGGTCCTCAGCAAACAGATACAATTGTTATATTTGTTCCACCTAATCCTACAATTACAACTACTGAATTCTCGTTGGAAGATTTTCATTCTACTGAAACTCAAGAGCTTGGGCCAAATGAAACTGATACTGTTGTAGTTTACGTTCCTCCAAATCCAACTGTTACTACCACTGAATTCTGGCCAGATAGTGTCACCACATCCGTCACGGAAACCAATGGTCCTGATAATACCGACACGGTTGTTGTTTATGTTCCCCACAATCCAACTACTACCAGAACTGAATTCTGGACAGAGGATTATGCAACTAGGGTTACTGAGACACATGGTCCAGACCAAACTGATGTTGTTGTTGCTTACTACCCGTTCAATGAAGTGATGACACGAACTGAGTTTTGGACTGAGGACTATACCAGTACTATCATCGAGAATAATAACCCTGAAGAAACTGACCATGTCATTGTGTATGTTCCACCAAATCCAACTGTTACAACCACTGAATTTTGGGCTGGGTCATTTACCACTACTGCTACCGAAACCAATGGTCCCGTTGACACCGATACTGTTGTGGTCTACTTGCCACCAAATCCAACTACCACTATTACAGAGTTTTGGGCCGAAGACCATGCTACCACTAGTATATTTGCTAACGGCCCTGCTGATACAGACACGGTAATTGCTTACTTCCCATTTAACCCAACTGCAACTTATACTGAATTCTGGACTGAGGATTTTGCTTCTACTGTCACACAATCGGCCGAACCAGAAGGCACAGATACTGTTATTGTGTATGCTCCTGCGAATCCAACCGTGACCACGACCGAGTTTGGCAATGCCGATGGAGATGTTGATGTAACCAGTACTGTCACTTTTACCAATGCTCCTTATGGCACTGATACTGTTGTTGTTTACTACCCACCAAACCCAACTGTCACTGCCACCGAATTTTGGTTGCTGGATTATTACAGTACAGTCACGGAAACGAATGGTCCTGATAGTACAGATTCTGTACTTGTTTACGCACCGCCAAACCCCACCTTTACAACAACCGAGTTCTGGGTTGAAACCTACACCACTTCTGCTGTTGAAACCAATGGACCTGCTGATACCGATACGGTGGTCATATATGTACCATCCAATCCAACATCAACCAGAACTGAATTCTGGACCGAGGACTATGCTACCAGGGTAACTCATACTTATGGGCCAGACACGACCGACGAGGTTGTTGCCTACTATCCATTTAACCAGGTCATTACTAGAACCGAGTTCTGGACTGAGGATTTTACTAGCACGATCACTGAGACCAATGGGCCTGAGGAAACCGATAATGTCGTTATCTACGTTCCACCAAATCCTACGGTCACCACCACTCAGTTCTGGATTGAATCCTACACTACTGAAGCGACCGAGAGAAATGATCCAGATGGTACTGATACTGTGATTGTGTTTGTTCCTCCAAATCCAACTGTTACTACTTCATCATTCTGGAGTGAGGATTATGCAAGTGTGGTTACATACACTAATGATGTTCTTGGTACAGATTCTGTGGTGGCTTATTTTCCTGTGAATCCTACTTTCTTGTTGAACCAGTTCTGGACGGAAGATTACATCAGTACGGAAACACAAACTAATGATCCTGAGGGTACTGACTACCTTGTTGTTTACTACCCACCTAATCCAACTACCACCACAAGTGAATTCTGGACTGGCGACTATGTCAACACTGTGACTGTACAGAATGACCCACAAGAAACCGACACGGTGATTGTTCAGTATCCTGCTAACCCAACTGAGACCACTACTGAGTTTTGGGGTGAAGATTACAGAACCACACTGACTCAGATGAATGATCCTTCGGGTACAGATAATGTCGTCGTCTATGCTCCTGCCAATCCAACTGTTACTATCACTGAATTCTGGCCAGATAGTGTCACCACATCCGTCACGGAAACCAATGGTCCTGATAATACCGACACGGTTGTTGTTTATGTTCCCCACAATCCAACTACTACCAGAACTGAATTCTGGACAGAGGATTATGCAACTAGGGTTACTGAGACACATGGTCCAGACCAAACTGATGTTGTTGTTGCTTACTACCCGTTCAATGAAGTGATGACACGAACTGAGTTTTGGACTGAGGACTATACCAGTACTATCATCGAGAATAATAACCCTGAAGAAACTGACCATGTCATTGTGTATGTTCCACCAAATCCAACTGTTACAACCACTGAATTTTGGGCTGGGTCATTTACCACTACTGCTACCGAAACCAATGGTCCCGTTGACACCGATACTGTTGTGGTCTATTTCCCACAGAATCCAACAACATCTGCTACTGAATTTTGGCTGAGTAATCATAGAGCATCATCAACATATACTGATACTTTTGGAGGTATTAATACTGTCATGGTTTATGTTCCACCAAATCCAACTACCACTTATACAAGTTTCTGGTCTGAAGAATTCTGGTCTACAACTACTATTTCTTCTGTTCCTGATAGTACTGATCTGATTGTTGTTCTAGCTCCTGTCAACCCAACTATTACTGTCATTGAATTTTGGAATGAAGGTCTTGCTACGTCAGTGACTCATACAAATGAGCCAGGTGGTACTGATTCTGTTGTTGTATTTGCGCCAGCAAATCCTACATTGACTTCTACTGAATTTTGGATTGCTCCTGATACTGATACGGTTACTGTTCTGAATTCTCCATTTGAAACGGACTATATTATAGTGTATGCGCCAGAAAACCCAACCGTTACTGCATCAGAGCGTTGGGCAGAAACATTTGGTACAACGATCACACATTCAAATGGTCCATTGGATACTGATACAGTGATGGTTTATATTCCTCCTAATCCAACTTTGTATTTTACGGAATTTTGGGATCAGCCGACTGAAGGAACAATCACTTACTCCAACGATCCTTATGAGACAGATTCCGTGGTTGTTTATGCTCCATATAATGAAGTTACATATAAGACAATATTTTGGACAGAAGATCATACTGGTACTACTTATTATTCGGATGAACCATTTGGAACTGATACCATAGTTGTATATGCACCACCAAATCCAACTGTAACTAGAACACAGTTTTGGGTAGAAAACTATGCAACTACAGCAACTGAATTTAACGCACCATTTGAAGATGATTATGTGGTTGCTTACTTCCCTGCAAATCCTACAACTACAACTACTGCTATCTGGCAGGGAGATTTTATTACGACAGTTACACATACAAATGAGCCTGGTACATCAGATTCAGTTGTCATTTATCATCCACCTAACCCAACTGTTACAACAACCGATTTCTGGATTGAATCCTACACAACTGAGGTTATTCAAACAAATGATGCTGGTGGTACAGACACTGTTATTGTGTATTATCCGCGTAATCCAACATCAACCACTACTATTTTTTGGGGTGAAGAATATGCGACTAGAATTACAGAAACTAATAAACCAGGAGAGACCGACTATGTAATTCAGCATTATCCTTTCAATGCCGCCATTACTAGAACTGAATTCTGGACAGAAGAATATACAACAACATCAACCATAAGTAATGATCCTGAAGAAACTGATGATGTTATTATCTATGTCCCAGCTAATCCAACTGTTACAATTACTAGCTTTTGGATTGAATCATTTGCTACTACTATTATTGAAAGCCATGGTCCAGAGGAAACAGATGTCATTGTGGTTTATATCCCTCCAAATCCAACGGTTACAACAACTGTATTCTGGGATGAAGCATACGAAAGCCTGTCCACGTATATCAATCTGCAAGAGGGTGTTGATACTGTTTATGTATATCTTCAAAATAACCCAACACAGACTATTTTAGAATTCTGGACAGGGACTTATACAGCCACGAGTACACAAACTAATGGGCCACATGGAACAGATAATGTTGTTATACTTTGTCCACCTAATCCAACTGTAATCATTATAGAGGACTGGCTTGAAGATTTTGTAAGTGGTACAACTCATTTTGCAGATCCCGGTCAAACAGATACAGTTATCGTCTATAAACCTCCTGTTTCGGTATACTCTACCACTGAGTTCTGGCTGGAGGATTACACCTCAACTATTTCAAGAACGAGAACTTTAAGTGACGTACCTGGTTATATTGTTGATGAAGTTGTTTATGTGAATCCAAACCCTACCATTACCGAAAACGAATTCTGGTTGGATAGTTCTGTTGCTACTATTACACATACAAATGGTCCTAATGGAATAGATACTGTTGTTGTCTATTATCCTTACAATCCAACTACTACAACTACCGAATACTGGATTGGTACATTCACTACTACGGTCACAGAAACATATGGTCCTAATGAGACAGATGTGGAGATTATTTACGTTCCAGAAATTACAATATCATCACCATCATCATCGTCATCATTGTCGTCAAATGACAACTGTTTAGACAGTGATAATTCTGGTGAACTGGGTTGTTATCATCCATCTAATGAAATTTCTACTAGAACTGTTTTTTGGACTGAAGAATTTACTAGTACCATAACTCAGGGTGAAAATATCATGGTGTATGTTCCTCCAAATCCAACAACAACAACGACGGAGTTTTGGATTGAAAGTTTTACTACCGTTGTTACTGCAACTAATTCACCTGGTGGTGTTGACCAAGAAGTAGTTTATTTTCCACATAACCCTACAATTACAACATCGGAACAGTGGTCAGAAGCGTACTGGAGTACTACTACAAGAACCTTCCCACCTGGTAATACAGATTATGTTGCTGAGCTTGGTCCTGGCAACGAGAGAGTTACAGTCACTGAGTTTTGGGTTGAGGATTTCACAACTACTGTGGTGCATACTGATCAACCACGTGGTACAGATCTGGTTTATGTATATGTTCCTCCAAATCCTACTGTTACTACTACTGAATTTTGGTTTGAAGATTATGACACTACTGTTACTCATTCACATGATGCTGGTGCTACTGATACTGTCATTGTTTATGCTGCTCCGATTCCAACTGTTACCAGTACTGTGTTTTGGTCAGAGACTTATTACAGTACCTCCACTTCTACAAGTACCATTCAAGATAACGAGGAAATAATACTATATGCTGTTTTATATGCCCCTGCAAATCCAACTGTGTCAACTACAGAATTTTGGGTTGAACCTCATACAACATCAGCTGTTGAAACGCAACCACCTGGTGGCACAGATACAGTTGTCATTTACCTCCCATATAATCCTGTTGTTACTACTACCCTGTTCTGGACTGAAACATATGCTACAAGAGTTACTGAATCAAATGAGCGAGGCAGTACTGATGTTGTTATTCAATACTATCCTAGGGGGCAAGTTGTTACCAGAACCGAATTCTGGACAGAAGATCATAGAACTACAGTAACAGAAGCCGATCCTTCAGATGATTCTGCGAACATTGTTGTTATTTATGTTCCACCTAATCCAACAATTTCTACTACAAAGTTTTGGATTGAATCATTCAGTTCGGTGTTCACTGAAACCAACGGGCCAGATGGTACTGATACTGTTGTTGAATATGTACCTGCAAATCCTACAATAACTGAATATGAAACTTGGTTGGAAGATATTGCCACCACTGTTATAGAAAGTAATAATCCAGGTGCTACTGATAGAGTTGTTGTGTATATGCCACCGAATCCTACCATCACGACAACGGAATTTTGGGGTCAAGTATATTTCACCACAGAAACTTACAAGAATAGTGCAAATAGTGTTGATACTGTTGTGATTTATGCTCCTGTCAATCCAACAGTTACGTTGACAGAGTTTTGGGTTGAAGATTTTACAACTTCGATCACGTATACAAATCAACCAGCGCATAGTGATACTGTTATAATCTACGTTCCCCCAAACCCAACTGTTACAGTCACTGAAGAATGGGTTGGGACTTACGGTAGTGTCGTTACGCAACTGGAATTACCTGGAGGAACGGATACAGTAATTGAATTTGTACCAGAAAGTCCAGTTAGCTTTGAATATCCTTCTGAAATTTGGTTTGCTTCTAGTGAAGATATAAGTAGTGCCTCGGATGGTTTTGTTGTTTCTGGTATTGATGAAACTAGTGGTAGTGAATCAAGTTTGCCATCAGAACAGATTGATCCATCAGGAGAGGGTTCTATGTCTCAGAGTGTAACAACGAACTCTCAATTTGATATTACTATGATTACCGATGCAAGTGAAAGTACTGAATATGCACAGACAATTGATGACGAGTCATTTGTTCTATCATTAATAACAACATTAGATTCCGAGAGTCATCTGGCGTTTGACACGAATACAGATGGAGTTGATTCTACTGGAAGCAATGGTCAATGGTCAGAGCTGATTTGGCGTGGTTATAATACTTCATCTGTTTTGTCCCAAACAACCTCACTGGAAATATCATCTGTTCCAAGCACTAATGGTTTCCAATCGACTCAAAATCCTACTCCTGTTACAATTAAACTGTCTTTGGATGTTCCATCTTCGCTGCTTTATTCCGTTGAACAATCTATTGAAACGAATTTTTCCGATACTGGTGCCACTACAATTCCTAATCAAGTGGGAGAATCAGTTACGGAACAACCAACTACTGACACAGCTGAAGCAGAGCTGTCAACGACAAGTCCATACCAGGTAGAACAATCAATTAGTGAGAAAGATCAAGTGCAACAAACAAGTACAACACCAGGTCAAGTAGAGCAATCAACTATCTATTCAGCTGAAACTGGTCAATCAACTATAATTACAAACCAAGTAGACCAATCAACTACAATTCCAGATCAAATAGAGCCATCAACTACGGTTCCAGATCAAGTGATACAATCAACTAAAGATTCTTCTGAAGTTCCTGTTGTTCCTAGTTCTTTCAGTCCCTCGGTTATAGATGATTCGATGACGGTGATAGAAAGTCCGCAAGGTTCTTCATCGGTCCCTATTTCCCAAGATATAGTGTATCCAACAACTGTTATCACAGGTGGCTCAATCATGACTGATGGTGATACACGGATTCCTGAAACTGTTGATGGAGAGTATCTGTCTCTTATAGGTGAACCATCAGATGGTTATAGTCAATTACAAATTACCCCTGCTGGTTCCAGTCCTCCTCCAATAACTCTTGGTAATGGTGATACGACTTTGGTATCTCACTATGTTCCTCAAGTCTCAACACCAGATATTGTGATAACCTATGAAGGATCGGGTTCACATACAAAATTCTCCAATTGGCTTATTATTTTGTGTTCGCTAATTATATTGGTTTCTTAAAATGGAATATTTTGTTGTTTAAGTTTAATTTTTATGTTTTCATTTCTTGATATTTTATTTTTTTTTTCCATATCTTTGTTGTTTCGTGAATATTTTTCTATAAGTGATATTTTATTTGTTTAATTTGAATAAATTTATTTTCGTATTATTATGATTTTATTATCTCTGATTAAATGTAAAATTAATGGATGAAAAGTTCATAATCACTTCGATAAGGTATGAAGATAAGAAATATGCTACCATGTGTAATGGTTATCTAGGGATTTACACTTTAAATCTGTATTACATTTTACTTTAGTGCAAAATATAATCTCATTACGGAACTGCAACCCCGAAATCTATAGAAGCAATGAAAATCTGTTACCATGAGTTTAAAGTAATTGCAGATTATCATCGTTTATTTAATTTACAGCGAAATAATTCACTCATCCCTTGTTTTTTTTATTCATTTTGTCTCTCCATTTATTTTTTCTGGTTATTGCATTTAGTTTGTGCAGAATTCCAGGTTTTGGATTGGCCACAAGGCAAAACGACCAACTTGAAAAGCGCTGTTCAAGAGGCATTCTGTCAAAACGATAAAGGTGGTCGTTAAAAAAAAAGGACATTATAATTGAATTAAAGTATTTTAGGGGGTATGGATTATTCTTAACCTGGTGATTGAAATTACTTTTTTTTTAAAACAAATAATCAGAGAACCAAACCAACAATGTAACCCAAGAAAAAGATTATGATCCCACGGTGACTATGGTTTATTTGACATTTCTTTTTTCCTCATAGAGATGAGGTAGAGAAAAATAAAAATAAATTGTAACGCGATAATTCATTCATATCAACATGGATTTTATCGGGGAAGGCATGTAAAGGAATATCTCCCCCTCCCACCTAAAAGACACGAAACACGCAGAAATTGATGCTTTAATGATTGCCTTCACTTCTACATGCAAGGACTCGTTTGGGTAGTTGAATCTGGAGTAACAAGTACTTATTGATTTTCGAGCCATCTCTCCAACGTTTCTGAATGGATGATTCAAAGTCAGGAGCCTGCCAGTTTAAATTTAAACTCCGGGCACAATACATTACCATTACCATTAAGGAGAAGCACGGAGTACTTAAAAGTGCAAAATAGGATATTTTCGGAAACCATGCATTTACGCCTCTGTTGCAATTGGGTATTATTGGCTAATTTTCATGTCATTTCGGAAAATCTTTACATCTGGTGACTCAACTTTTCGCAATTTTGTTTCTTTAATTTCTTTTTATTTTTTTTTTTTCCTCTGTGTGTTTGCTGCACGGTGTCGTTGCGAGATTTTCCGTGGTAATCGAATGATTCGCAAGTATATGTCCATTGGCATTAATGGTACGAAGATAGCTGCATCATATAAATAGTTCAAAAAATCCTCTATAAGAAATTACAAATGATCCTTCCTTTCTCTTATCTATCATCCATTCATCAAATAAATTCATATATTCACTAAATCTTATTTAATAACAAATCAGAGCAATGTTGTTTCAAGCCATTCCAAAGTCTTTTGCTTCTGCCACTGTCACTACTGCCGTTCGTCGATTGTCAACCAGTCCAGTTAACAGCCCAGAAGCCTACAAAGTATTGGCTAGTGTAGTCTTTTACAGTTTGGCTACTGTTGGTGTCGCCAGTTTGGCTGAAAAGAACAACAAGGGTTATTTATTTAAACAATTGGGTAACTGGTAATTTTGCATATTCGGTATTTACATCTTATTTTTATTTCTACATTCACTAGTTTAGTTTCATTTGGGTCTTTTTTTTTATTATTATTGAATATTATGTTAATTAATTAAATGTTATACTTAATTTGATTATTATTATCATTTATATTCCTATGGTGCTTTTTTTTATTGTTTTATCAAGTTGATTATATAGAATCTTATAAAGCTTTTAATAAATATATTTTGTTTAATTTTATACGTTTTTCTTGGTGTACTTTTTCTTTTCTATGTAAATCTATCTAAATAACCTGTTTTAGACCCTGTCCTGGAACTCTTCTCCAGTATCTTTGGGTACTTCCAAATAACAATTCTCTACTTAAAGTCCATACAGTTAATAGTATATCTTTTCTTGGTAAAAATTCAGGAAATACCACAGTAATCGAATTCTTATCACCATTTGCTTTCGTCAAAACACACAAGTAAAAGATTACTTGACCGTATTCGTGAAATCCTTCATGTATAACTAAATCAATCATATTTTCTATTGGAATAAATGAATCATAGGATTGAAATTTCCATAATTTCTTTGAATTGAGCTGGATCCCAATTCCTTTCATAACTGTAATTGAATCTTCTGGTGGCTGTAACGAGTAAAATGCCCCTATAAGTGCAATTTGTAAAATGATTGTAAAGTAATTTAACAATTCTAATTCCCCATTTCTAATATTATCTATGTGGTAGGAGATATATGTAACTAAAGAAATAACTACTAATATCAATAAGGAGTATTTGGCAATAATTAGTCTCTTGGATGATTGATGTCTGACTGTAAACTTCAAAAGATTTCGCGATTCTTTAGGTGATAAGTGTAATGGTGGAACTATTTCCAATTTGTAGTTTTTTGGTGATGACATGAGGAGTAACTTCACATATATATCATGGTCACAGCAAATGTATGAATCGTTTTCTTGGACAAACTTATAGAACACTCAAATTGAATGAAAAAAAAAAAAAATTAAAGGTTATTAGTTCAAGTGTTCTAATTTTAAAAATTCTTATTTTTAAAAAAAGTTTGTTAGTCATTGGCACGTGACTTGGGGTAATTTTTGGTTACAAAGAACACGACCCGGGGTTTGAGTCAGAATATACTCCTTCTAGTTCTTCTATTTGACTCTGGTACGCTAACAATGGTAGCAATACATATATTTTCTACATCTTTTATATGTGATACATTCATTCAGCAACTTCTCTTTGTCTCTTCATATCATCAATTGATCCCACAACCATTTCATTCTTTCTCAATTCTTTGACTTTTTCAGCACGTGTCATTGGTTTGGCACCGGTTCTGATTTCAATCTCTCTTCGTCTATTTGCCTCGGCGTCTTCTTTCAATGCCTTTTCTCTTTCTAATACAATAGCATTCATACTTTCCTCGTGCTCAATTCTGACCTTTCGTAACTCTTCATTATAATATTCCAACGATTTAATATCATTCTTAATATTCTTACAATATTCTTGGAAGTCAACAGGAAGTTTTCTTTTCAAAGCCAATTCAACAATTTCTGGGAACTTTCTTTCCTCTAGATTGAACTTCAGCTTAATCTGCTTTCTAGATCTATAAGGAAACAATTGTGATATCAACGAGAAATCTGTACCAAACATACTCAAAGCTTGATAAAACTGATTAAGCTCATCAGGAGTCCACTTATCGGTATGCACACGCTTACTATACGTGGTAGATGTAATAGGGTTAGCAAATGGATTGGAATTTTCAACTGATCTTGTATTGACATCAGCTCTGGGTTTGGCAACTATTGCAGATTCTTCACTAACTCCCAATTTACCATCGGCATTAAACACTAATTTCAAAGATGAGCTTGCTTCTGGAGGATCTTCATCAAACAAGGCGTCTGGTTTACGCTGTGATTCTGAACTAGATACAAAAACCTCTCCATTTTGTCTTCTCGCTTCTTCGTTTTTCTTCACAGCTTCCTCTAGTGATATTCTTTCAGCTCTAGCAAGTTGTCTATCTCTCTTTCTTTGATTTCTTTTTTGTCTCAACTCGTATGTTGCTTCCTTTGCCAACATAAAGTTTGAACTAACTTTCCCGATTTGTATAGTCGGTTTACACAATTCTGCCATAGTCATTTCTTCAAGATCAATATCAACTTCACCGAAAAGTTCAATATCCTCGTCTTTAATTTTGCTTGGAATTTGATGAATATTTGTGATCGTTGTGATTAATCCCTCTGGTTCCTCTGGTACTTCTGGTGTAGTTTTCTCGGCTCCTTCTTCCTTCTTGATAGCACCATCCTCTGTTTTAATTATGGTATCACCTTCTTCCTTTTTCAATCTCACAGCGGAGTTGCCCTTTCGTCTGAACTTTGTCAATTTCTGTGTGACGGGATCAATACCAACAATGAACTCATCACTAACACCCTTCTTATCTGACTTTTTGACCGGGCGCTGTTTCTCCTCTTTCGATTCTGCTCCTTTGTCAACTACCTTTGGAGCATCAGAAATTGAAATATTAATTGGCTTTGCTACCTTTGGTGTTGCAGTAAGTGCAATCTTCTTTGTCGCGCGGTTCTGGGCCAGTGATCTTCTTCTCTTTGTTGGTTTTCCAATTGGGATTCCTATCTTAGCTGGAATATGGTTTGGGTCTGCATTTAGTGAGATGGATGCAGATCTACTTCTTCCACCTGGTGGATTTATGCTAGATAGTCTTCTTCTTTGAGTCACTGATTGTCTTCGAGCTGTATTGGAATCAACTGGTGGTTTGAAATTATTATCGTCGTCTTCGTTATCATCTTCGTCTTCAGAAGAGCTAGCAATGGCATTTTCATTTGGTGCACTTTTATCTTTAGGATCAATATCAGTATCATTTTTAATTGGTTTTTGGGGAGATGCCGTTGATAAAGTCATTCTAAAGCTTGGTTGTTCTTGTACTTGAGTACTGGCCGGTGAAGCAAGTTGCATGTTACTTTCTTTTATAGAGTTATCTATATCTTTTTCTTGTGATTTGCTTGTATTCTTCTCATCGTCTTGTTCTTTGTTGGTGATCTGTGTAGCTGGTGGTGTTGCAGGTTGATTTGGTTTTGGAGTTTGAGATTGCCTTTGCGAAGGACCTGGTGTTGGAGTTTGTTTCTTTCTGACAATCTTTTTAATTTTTGGAGCAAACAGTGTTCCACCTTTTTTAACTAAACTACTCATGTTAATTATATGGTTGTGTTATGGAGCAACTTGACAAAAAAGATAAAGATAAACAAGGTTTGAATTTTTTTTTTTTTTTTCTGTTTTTTGTTTTTTGTTTCTTGTTAGCGTGAAAGTAAATTCATCTTTCTCTGCTTTATTGGGAAAGCTCTCTTTTGATACAGTATAATTTTTCTTTTTTTTTCACTGTTCTGTACTTCATTACCATAACCTCATCGCTTGCAGCACACATTGAATATGAGTTCAAAACTTATTCATACATGGTCACCATTTACTAATGATGATTGGATATTGAAGATTGTCCAATTGACTGATAGTACGTTTATTGCATCGAGCAGTAATGGGTCCTTGGTTGAATTTTCAATCACAGATTTAGTCTCAAACCCAAAATCCACAATTAACAAGGCACATGAATCAAGTATCAATGATATTGTAAAGATTGATGAAAACACTATTGCATCATGTTCTAGTGATGGTGTCAAAATTTGGGATATAAAGAATAAAAAAGAAATCGTTACTTTGACTAATAGCAAGAATTCAACTTTTTTGTCGTTGGCATACAAAGATAATCTTTTAGCTGCTGGTACTGAACTTGTGGGTGTTGATGCGGAATTACACATATGGGATATAACAAATACTAATGAAGTGGTTAGATCATTCATTGATTCTCATCATGATGATATCACTGCTTTGGAATTTCACCCAACTCTTAGTAATTATTTAATGTCAGGTTCCACTGATGGTTATGTCAACATCTATGATTTAAACCAGCCAGATGAAGATGAATCACTACATCAAGTGATAAATTATGCATCTGTTCATTCGTGTCATTTTATTTCAGATTCAAGAATCTCGATATTGACACATATGGAAAGTTTGATGTTTCACGATTTAAATGATACAAACTATGAAGAATTGGTGAAGCCGAAATTTACTGATCTTAAGGATACTAGAGAACTTTGGCCAAATAATGAATATGTTATTGATGTAAATCCTGAAGGATATGCTGCATATGGTTCTAATTCAAAAAATTCATTATCATTATTACCATTCGAACCATCAAGTGAAAGTTTTGATATATCAAGTGTGATTAGCTTCCCAGGTGCACATGGTGAGGAAGTAGTACGGGACTTGTTAGTTTTGTCCAATACTAAAATGGTAATCACATGTGGAGAAGATGGTAACATCAAACTTTGGGAATTGCCACATATATTAGAAGTTCGTCCTATCACGAACAAAGACGAATCTGTTGACGTTGTAATGGAAGATTCGCTGGCTGAAAAACTAAAGAAAAAGTCTAAAAAGGATAAGAAGGACAAGAAGGATAAAAAAGACAAGAAAGGCAAGAAGGATAAAAAGGATAAGAAGAAGAGTAAAAAGGACATTAGATTTAAACCATATTAAATACACGCAAAAAATTATATTTTTATATATATATATTAATTTATTTCTAAATATTAGTTGGTTTTTTTTTTTTCTTTTTAGAATCTTCTGATGACATCGTTAATGACATCTTGAGTAGTGGAGTTACCACCTAAATCTGGAGTTTTGATTTTGTCTTCAGCCAAGTTAGCATCGACAGCTTCGTAGATAGTGGCAGCAGCTTCTGGGTAACCCATGAATTCCAACATCAAAGCAGTTGATCTAATAGTGGCAATTGGGTTGGAAATACCTTTACCTTCGATATCTGGAGCAGAACCGTGACATGGTTCACCAATGGCAAAGTTGTCACCAACATTAGCAGATGGAACAACACCCAAAGATCCAACTAATGCAGCAGCACCATCACTCAAAATATCACCATATAAGTTTGGAGCAACAACGACATCAAAGATTTCTGGTTCTCTGAACATACGGTAGACCATAGAGTCAACAATTTGTTCTTTATATTCAATACCACCGTATTCATTGATGTTGGCATCGTAGACTGCACGACAAGTTTCACGGAATAAACCATCAGATTGTGATAAAACATTGGATTTGTGGGTAACAGTAACAGATGGTTTGTCGTGGAGTTGTTTAGCAGAAGAACCTTTTCTAACGGCTTCTCTTTGTAAAGCAATATCGTAAGCCATTTTAGCAATTCTTGTGGAAGCAGTTTCGGTAATTCTTTTAATGGCTTCAGCAACTTTAGTACCATCTTCTTTTTTGTAAACTCTTTCTTCTTTAATGTATAAATCTTCAGTGTTTTCACGAACGATAACCATGTCAACTGGTCTACCAATACCTTCAACAGATTTAACTGGTCTGACATTGGCGTATAATCCCATTTTCTTTCTCAATGCAACAATTGGTGAAGAATAACCAGCAACTTTAGTAGTTGGGGAAGAAACAGCACCAAACAAAGCACCATCACATTCTTTCTTTAAAACATCAACGGTTTCATCTGGTAAAGCAGTACCAGTTTTTTTGAACAATTCGAAACCAGCGTCCAAATTGACGAACTCAAATTGTAAATCGTGTTTGGCTGGTAAGTTTTCCAAAACAGCTTGACCAGCTGGAATGACTTCACGACCAATACCGTCACCTGGAATCAAACCAATTTTTAAAGTTTTTAAGGCAGTGGCTGAAGTAGAAAAACAACGACGAATTGATGATCTTGAAGCAGCTAACATTGTGCTATTCTAAATAATGATATAATGTAATAAGGTAATTGTACCAATTAAATAACAAGAAGAAAAAGAAAATAGAAAAGATTAAAAAGAATTAATGAAATGAAAACTTTTGAAAAATTTTTTGATCCTCTTTAATACCCCCGGTTTCGCACCAGTTGTCACAAAACAATCTGGAGTACGCACACACACACACTGAGTGGTAAAGCGATAAGGAGAACTCACAGCAAGAAGGAGAAGAAAAAATTTTTTCCTGTGTGAGTCTGCTCACTGTACAATAAGGCAATTTTGTTCGCTGAGTCATTATTATATCCAATTCGGGTCAATCTGCGGCGCACCTCAAATCATCAATATGGCTTTCATGAAAACCTATAAAGATTAGTCACTTACACCATGAATATCTCAAAAAGCACGGATACACTACAGGCAAACTAAATTCAAATATACATGAACTGCTGGCAAGCAGATAGATTTAATCATTCATTAATAATAATAGTAAAAATAAAAGAAGGAGAAGAGAAAGGAAACACATCTATGTACAAGAAAATCACATTCTTCGTTCTAATAAAACAAATATTGTCTTCATGTCAAGTCATTAATAAACATTTAAAATCTATTCTTCATCTGATTCCTTAACAACACCGACTTTAGCTGGTCTTAAAACTCTTTCGTTCAAGGTGTAACCAACTTGTTGGACATGGAAAATAGTGCCTGGTTGTTTGTCTGGGTGAACCATTTGGAAAGTAGCTTCATGTAAGTTTGGATCGAATGGTTCATCAATAGGATCAATCTTGTTGATACCATACTTGTTTAAGGTCTTTTCAAAAACATTCTTGGTCATATCGACACCTTCATACAAATTTTTAACTTCAGCATTAGTTTTCAAAGTTTCTTCTTTAACATGACCAAGTGCTAAGTTGAAATTATCAAGTGAATCTAACAAGTCTTTGGCAAATTTTTGTAAAGCAAAATCTTTAGCCTTTTGAACTTCAACTTTGGTAGTTTCTTGTAAATGACGGAAATCAGCAATTGCTCTAGCATAATGGTTTTTCATAGAAGCCAATTCTTTGTCTTTGGTTTCTAACTTTTCTTGCAATTCGGCTACTGGATCAACTTCTTCGGCGGCTGTTTCTCCTTCAGTCTTCACCTCTTCTTTTAATTCTTCTTGTTGTTCTTCTTTCTTTGGCTCTTCTTTGGCAGCATTGTTTGAAGATGAGTTGAAACGAACGGCAATTCTTTGTGGGTAGGTAACTGAAACTGCTGGAGTTACAATTCTTGATGCAGATACAGCATTACGAGCGACAAATGATCTTGTCAATGTGTTGAATAAAGCTCTTTGCATTGTAGTATTTGTAGATATCTATGTTTTAAAGTTCACAGTTCGAAAGCAATAAAATTAAGTAAAGAGAAACAAAAAAAAAATTCCAATATTCTAAATTTCACGGTGAGTGAGGAGCGAAGGAAAAAGAAAAAAATTTTCCCTTTGGAACGTCTTGGAACGGACCTCAACTGAGTATAGACAAAAAAAAAATGCTGCGAGCACAAACAATAACACCCTACGCTACCAGATGGTTCTATTTTAGAATAATTTGCATTAATGAAACTATAAAAAATCAGTCCAAACTATTGACTAGTTCTTTTAATTGTTGCAAATCTTTAACGATAACTTGCTCGTGGTTATTTCTTTCCTTGCAACTATAAGTTTCTCCGGTGATTACATGTAATTGATTCTCAGCCGGGATTGGCATTTTAAAAAAACAAGCCCTATCTGTTGAAGCATTTGCACTTACATAGTAGTTTCCCAACTCTCCTGTAAGGGTTAATTCTTTGTATTCGGAGTCAGTAAATAACGAAATGATGGAATACTTATAATGAATATAATCATTAACTCCTGATTTGTTGAATAATACGTTCGGGCGATCTATCGACGATGGGAGTAAAGACTCGGCCACTTCTTTAATCAAATCAAGTTGACGTTGACATGAAGTCCAAATTCCAATTAATTCAGTTGGATACCCTAATTTCTTCATGTAGTAGTACAACAATACACAGTATTCAGCTTCTTCCACTTGATCCTTAACTGATATCACTTCTAGTTTGTTCATGAAACCAGGATTGAATTTAGGTTTTGTTTCGATTTCCGATCTCCAATCTGGTTTGTCGATAGACTTAGAATGCTTATAAAGAAAATAATCTTGAAGTTTACCTCCAATTATTTTCATACTTCCGGGGTTTTCCTCCACCCAATCGACAAATAGGTATGTCATCATGAACACAGATGGATGACAGTTGACAAATACAAAAGACTTCACTTTTTCAAGGTTCTCAATTAGTGGGATTAAATCATCCATAGTAATCATAATTGACAAGTTATCATAAATAAATTCCCAGGTATTTTCAACAAGTGGTGCTTTGGAAACGGCCCAACATACAGCAACGGAAGAAAAGGTACTGACAATTTTAGTAGTAACTTTCTTAAAATCCTCTGGCTCACTGATTGGTTCACTTGTAATCTTTTGAAAATCAATGGGGAAGTCGACACCATTTTGCGCCTTATCTTTTGCAGCAGTTGTCCAGGCCTGGAGGAATTGATTCATGACTTGATCAAGTTGTTCTAATGAAATGAATTCCTTCAATTGCTTAATCTGCTCTATTCCTGCACATCTCTGAATATTTTCAAAAAAAGCATTCACATGTTCCACAAATTTATCAACAGACTTTGCATCTCCATATCGTATCAAAGGGAGGTCGCTGTATTGTCCAAGATACTCCTTTGTTGGAACGACAACTATCGTTCTAGGAGAATATAAATCTGGTAAAATTTTGTGGATGTCAGCATGTTTCGAAACAGACATTAATTGAACCAAATCAGTATCGTTTGTTCCATCGATATCATTATCAATCGGGGATGACATTATTTTAAATGCTATTTCAGGGAACATTGAAAACCTTAAGCGTTTCAGGTAGTTCCAAACATCACTTCCCTTCAAACTATCAGTATTTGGCAAAAATATCAAATGGGTATATCCCAAATCGTCAAGATTCTCGCATTTGAAAGTATAACTGTTGTTGTTGGACTTTTCAACTCTACCAATTCTCAACTTGTCAATACCTATTTTTTTAGTTTCTGAAGTTTTACTAGGTTGACACAAAGTAGCAGCCAATGCATATTTGAAATCATTTGAATTCGTTTTGTCAAGGTCGATTTGATACTCCTTTGCTTTAATATTCTGAATAGTCTTGATTTTCCAAAAGTATTTACTGTTACCACTAAAAGAATTTGGTCCGGTTACAGTGACTCTTTTGGCAATCAGCTTCAAATGTTCTAATATCTCACGTTTGGTTTCATCCAGCATTTCATTTTGAACGTCACTAAAGAAAGTAGAAATAAAGTTGTAATTAGATGCAAACTTGATGTAACGAGGAAGATCTTCTAACTCCGTCTCAGTAAAGTTTTTCCATATTACATCTCTAAATGGTATATAACTGAAGAATGGAGTTAAAACGATATCGATATAAAACCTTTTCATGTCAACATCGTTTGTGAAATATTTTAAAGTAGCAAAGTTCATTTGCTTTTCACGCAGAATAAACATGTCAAGCAATTGCTTAGCATCATTTAAACTCAAATTATCAAGAAGCAACTTTTCAAAACTATCTCTTGTACAATCATGCAATGACTTAATCATTGCAAGCTGGTTCATGAGGTTTATGTGACCGTCAAATTTCTTCTGTAACGCTATTTTCAAATCTTCAAAATCGCTGAAATCATCCATAGCAAATTTTAAAAAAGTAACAGCTCCAGCTGCCCCTTTGGTTGCTTTAACAGCAAAATATGATGTTGCTTTAGTAGCTTCTAATAACATCATAACAGATTTCGCATGACGACGACTAGATACCCAAGTTTGGAAGAACTTTGCCACTGCAACCTGCCAATCAGTAACACTTGTCTGGCTATCACCCCCAAATGATGTAATCAATCGAAGCATCCACAGATTTGCTTTCTCGTCACGTAAGCCAAAGGGACGAAGAAACATCCTTGCAAGTTCTTCATCATCAAAAGCGACGGTTGGATTATATAATGATGTGAGAATCTCAAAATCATAGTACTCATCAATGAACATATTATACATGTCATGCACAATGAAGTTGGAAAATACTTGTAGAATATTGATTTTAAAGTCAGTATCATTAATAAATTCGTCAACTGCAAACTCTGCTAATTTACTAATGAACTTGAATTTGTTGTCAGACTCCATCCAAATACCAAACAATTCATCAAAGAGACTTCCATTATGATTTGGTCCATAGTAAGCATGCATAACCAATGCAAGTAGCAATTTATAATAATTGACAGTTTCCTTCCTTCCATCAAAGGCAAGCCTAGAAATCATGGATCGAGCAAATCCAATCCTGATTAAAAAGTCTAAACATTGATCTTTTGCTTCACCTGAAAATACTATATCAACTATCTCATTCAAGACATTCTTCCTGTGATTCTTTAAATACAGTTGAGTCAACTTCTCAAGTCGACATATACTATTTCCTTTATTCATATGTGGAGTTGGATTGAAATATAATTTGGTCTATGCAATTGTGAAGAAAGAAAAAAAAATTCTTTCGAAAAGTCTTTTTACCGTGTTTCTCTCTCTCTGTCCAATTTTATAACGCGTCTTCATTACATAAGATCTCTAACGTGTATTTCGTCTAACACTGCAATCAATGGATTTCTATTTTGACTGGTGAATACATGTGGATGGGTTATTAGTTTTTATTATATCTCTTGCCATTTTTGTAAAGTTATTGATACATGTAGAAAATTTTGTACCAAATTTGTAGAAAATTTTGTACCAAATTTGTAGAAAATTTTGTACCAAATTTGTAGAAAATTTTTTGATCATCCCAGAACAAATCAATCCAATTTAATTGCCTTTTAAATCTTTAATTAAAACAGCAAATCCATATATTGACTGATTTCCAATAGTTTTCAGAGAAATTTAACATAAAATCCAACGTTTTATTTAATGCAAATGTCATATTCAACGAAATATAAAACATGCAAGATTATCCAATGTTTTTTAGTGGGAGATTTGGAGGTTTGGAGAAAAATTCTAAAATATTATTTTTAGTCAAGTGGAGATAGCAGCTCTTGATTTGCTTTTTTAAAATAAAGAAAAAAAGTGCAGGTTCGATTCCCGTATATACCAACTTTTAATATTTTTTTTTTTTTTAAAAAAACCAAGAATAATACCTGATAATATAGAAACTCATTAAGTGATTTCTGAACAGTTAATTCTAATAAGCGGTGTAAGTCTCTTTATCTATGCTCGAACATAGTCCCAAACTCATTGGTCGTGCACAATGACGAATAAACCGAAAATCAAGATTGAAAAAATTTTCTTTTACTCTCGTTTTACATTCATTTCTATGGGCTAAGAATCATTCAAACAACACCCCTTGGATTGTTAGTACTATTCACCTCAGAGTAATGTTCAAAACTACAAATAGATTCTTATCGTTTGGACGTCCATTGCTTAACCAAACAGTTGCACCATCAAGTGCTGTGCCTCGTTTTCATGTGAAACTTGCCGCAACCCAATTTACCGAACCAGGTGCCAATAGACGTAGAGAAAGAAGATTAAGAAGAACAGAAAAGAGAATGAAAAAGCAAATTATTAGAGATGTTAATACCTTGAAACAATACGAAGTCAAAAATGTTCCACTTACAGTTGATCCAGTATTGGGGGACTCAAAATGTACTTTTATTCCAAGGATCATGGAAAAGGTTGACAACCAGGAATTGACTTTAGCTTATGGCATTGACAGGGCTGAATTTGAAAAGCTTTTGTATGCTGCTGAAAAAATTGCACTTGAAAATGCATCAAACAATGAAGCTTTGCGTGAATCTGTTATTGAAACAGAAGAAAACAAAAAACGTGCTGTCTTGACTATACTTAATTTGAAGAATACCAACACTCCAGACAGAAAGAAGATGGCCATCAAATTTGCTCGTGAAGAAATGCAAAGAGACTCTGGTGACACTGCCTCTCCGGAAGTTCAAGCTGGTATTTTAACTGTTAAAATACATTACGGTATGCAACAAGTGAAGAACATGCCAAAGGACAAAATCAATATTCAAAATGTTAGAGAACTTGTGCAACATAGACAAAGGCTCTTGAAGTACTTGAAGAAACAAGATCCAAAGAAGTATTATTATACCATTGCCAAATTGGGTTTAACAGACGATGCTGTCGTTAGAGAATTCAACATGAGTAAACAATATATGCAAGACTTTAAAGTTTGGGGCGACAAAGTTTTGGTTAGAGAAACCAACAGTGTTGCTAAGAAGAACCAAAAGATCAAGGATCTTAAGAATAGAATTGCTGCATACAATGATTTGGCCAAGAGAAACTACGAAATTTTGACTGGCAACAAATAGATCAAAAATAAAAAAAAATAGGGATGTAAATATTCGTTTCTGTACATAGTAAGATTAATTATTTTTCAATATTAACTAAATTGTCAAATTGTAAACCGTCGTTATTAAATGAACCGACTCCATTCTTTATCTGGTCCATAGATGTCTGTATCGAATCGATAATATCATTGGCACCAGTCACCATTTCTGAAAAGTCTTTGTGAAGGTCAAAGTTTTCTGCACACAACTGATCATATATCCATTTTGAAGATTATCTAGAACAACATTGCTATTACTTATTATTGTCGAATCCACGAGTTCCAAAGGTGAAAGTTGATCAATATTTGTAGGTTTTTCACCAGCTTCTTTCTTGTCTTGTGCGTGTTTTATAATTTCATCCAATTCGTCTAGCTTCGACTCCATATCTTTTTCTTTGTATATTAGATCAAACTCATCTAGTGAATTTGAATGCCAGAATCCTGACATTTGGGAAACGGCAGACTCTAGTGATATCAATCCATCTTCTGAATTCACCAATGTTGGGAAGCACGTACTCATTTGTTCTATAAATAATGATTTTTTGATCAGCTCTTCCAATGCCCTACGAGCAACCAATCTTAATCTTTCAAACCTCACTTTCTCAACGGCATCATAGTTCTTGGTATTCGTAGTTGACATTATTGGTGATATCCGAACAAGCAAGTGAAAAGAAAACAAAAACAAAAATAAAATAAACAAAAAAAAAAAGAGCAATGTCGTGTCGATGTGTTCAAGATTTTCAATAAAACTCCAACAAAAAAAAAAACACGAATTAACCAGGCAACTTTTAAGTCCCACTCTTTATCTAGTTTTTTTTTTTTTTTTTCTTTCATTGCCCTCCAAATATTCACCCAGAGATTTCGAACTATGTCAGATCCTCGTTCATTGATAGCAGAAGCTGAAAAACTACTTAAACCACAACTGGGATTTTTTCTGTTTTTATCAGGTTCTTCTTCATCTATGAGAAAGGAAGATGCTACAGACCTTTACATTCAAGCAGCAAACCTGTACCGTTTACTGAAAGATTTTAACCAGGCAGGTGCTCAATTTGTGAAAGCTGCAGAAATTCAAGAAAGTTTAGGAAACCATAATGATTGTGCCAACCATTTGGTTGAAGCATATAAATGTTTTAAAGGTGTTTCTCCATCAGACGCAATTTCAGCCTTATCTAAAGCAATCCATATTTTCTTGACTCAAAATGGTCAATTTAGAAGAGCAGCCAATTTTACTATGGATTTAGCAGAACTTTATGAGAGTGTAAATGATAATGAAAGTGCTGCCAAAAGTTATGAACAAGCTGGTGATTATTTTACTACTGATCATGCTGAGGCTCTTGCAAACAAGGCATTTTTGAAATGTGCTGATTTGTTTGCCCTTGATGGAAACTATAAGAAAGCTGTTGAATTATATAATAACATAATAAAGAATCTGCTTGGTAACTCTTCATCAAGATGGAGTTTAAAAGATCATTTCTTTAAGGTCATATTGTGTGTTTTGTGTATGGATGATGTTATTGAAGCAAACAAAAGAACCGACCAATTCCTTCAAGACGATCCTAGTTGGGCTCAATCCAGAGAATACAAGTTGGTTCAAGGTATCCTTGATAGCATTGATCAAGGTGATGTCGAAGGATTTTCAGACAAAGTTTTTGATTATGATCAATTTAGTAAGCTTGACAAGTTGAAGACACAATTGTTATTGAAAGTCAAGAATTCAGTAGTCGCTAAAGATGATGATGATTTATTGTAGATGCAATTTTACATCAAGATTTACTTTTATTTCTTCTCAATATATATATTATCAATACATGACAAACTACGTAGTTCAACGATATTACCCAGCAATGATCAAATTAGCAGTCATGGTGTCAAATCTGTCTCTGATCAACTTGGCTTCAACTTCCAACAATTCATGGTACAAATCCTGGCCCTGTGCCCCTTGCTTGTCCAACATCTCGTGCAACTTGGCCCTGCTGAGTTTCCACACCACCGAATCACTCACCGTGGTGTATGTTATCTGTCTATACTCCGAAGCATCGTCAATATCACCAAACGCCACCAACGGCAAAATACTACTATGCAACTCTCTCCCCTCACTCTCAAACTTTATCACGGACCGTATCAAACCGGACTCAACAATAAAGAATGCCGGATCATCTGTCTTTGTATCGTAAAATTGATAGTTTTCAGGCACCTTCTCCTTGACAAAATATGGTGCAAGCTTGGCCCAGAACTCAGCATCCTTCTTAGAAAGACCCTGGAATGTGATCATCATCAATGACAATGGCTGTTTCTGGAAAAGCGAGTTCTTGTTAACCTCAAACTTACTCTGTGTCTTGTGTTCATCATACACCGTTTTACTGGCCGCCTGCAAAACCTGGTTGCTTCGAGGCGTGGTTCCGAGCTCTCCAAATTTACCAAACAACTTGGCTCCAAATGAAGATGGCGACTGGAATTGTGGCTGTCTCGTGCCGGTCGAGGTAGGAACAGATTTGGATTTACTATGTGCGTCTAATCCGGTTTTCTTCAACTTCTTATACGTCTTCAAGAACGAATTCTCACACCACTCCAATGCGTAATTCAAGCTGCTGAACAACTCAATCGGCGAATTTGTACCATTGTCAAACAACCCAGCATCGCGCAAGCCCTGGGTAATGTCGTCATCTTCCGAGACCGACGAAATGATCAACTGGGTCTTGAACGAGTTTGTCAAATTCAAAATGCGTCGGAACCCTTCGGCGGCTGAGAAATCCAAGGAAATCACACCCTTCATATCAATTATCAAATACGAAATAGGGTTGAGACTGAATTTCTCCTCCTCAAACAAGTTCTTGATCACCTTCTCGACACCACCAATGGAACCAAAGAAAAGCGAGCCTTGCAACTTGATAATGTAGATCTGATCACCAACGTGCTTAAGAAACTCTTGCTGTTTCGGGTGTCTCATAACTGTGGATCGAGCAACACTTCCCGTGTAGATACCTTCCACCACTGGGGTTCGGCCAGCTTCAACGACAAACGACAAACACGCGAGGATGATACCAACACCAATACCAGCAACAAAGTCCACGGCCCCCATGGTCACAACAATGATAACAATGGTGGTGTACTCAACTTTGCGAAGCCTTCCCCAGGTGTCGTACAACGCCTCCTTAAGCAATTCGTACCCCAATAAGTAGATCAACGCACCGACAACACAAACAGGAATATACCCAATAACCACAGGGCCGACCATCATAATCGCAGCTGTAGCAATGGCCAACATCACACCGGCCAACCTGTCGTCCGCACCGGCACGTATGAACAACACCGAGTTGGTATAGACAAGATAATTCTGGATCGATCCCACCAAACCCGAGATTGCATTCGAGTACCCGTGTGCTACCAACTCTCTGTCGACATCAATCTCATCCATGCCAACAGAAACCGCCAATGCTGGAACGTTGATTGGGACATGAAGAATACCAAAGAAGGTAAGCGCCAACATAGTCGGGAGTTGACGCAAGATACAGAGCCAGTCAACAACACCAAACTTGTACAAGCTGTAGAACCCGTACCACGGCTCATTGCCTTCGACCAACGGGAACACCCAACCGGCATCACGGGCTGTATTCAAACTCCATTGCGGCACAACAGCAACCACCAAATGGAACGCGATGAAAACAAAAATAAAATACAATGGAACCAACAAGGAGTTGTGGAATCGGTGTTGAAGCAACACCAACACTGCTGCCAATGCAAGCGGAATTGTCCATTCCAACAACGTGATGTGGTTGAAAAACAAGTACTTGAACGTCTCAAAGTTGTAGGACAACCCACCCTCCAATCGGGAAGATACCTCAACACCTGTGGCAACCAAGAAATACCCAACACCACCAATACACCCGACCAATATGTGACGTGGGAAGAACCCTACAAGCACTCCCAATCTCAATTTACCGAGCAAGAAGAACACCAATCCGGTGACGATGGAAGATATGGCATAGGAGACGATCGTGGTGGCTATTATAGCATCATCACTAGAGCCAGCCAACTCTTTCGCAATGGACCCCGCCATGGTGTGGAAGAACGGTGTCACCTCAATCATTTCAGAACCGATACCTGCCTTGAAGGCGGAACCCCCAAGCGAGTAGACCAACTGACTGACAATACATGACATGTAGAACATCGAGAGACCTGCTGGCGCCAACGACGAAAAGATGGTTTCACCAATTGGGAACATGATCATCCCGTATGAAAGCCCATCCAAAATGTTGAGCAATGTTCCAAGAAAGACACCAGGTATGAAACGAATTGGTTGCAACAAGTAGTGGTGCAACTTGCTTGGCTGTGGTTGCTTTTCTGGGGTTTTCTTATGATCGTGACCGGAGACGCGTGGCGGTGATCTCGCATAGTCTTCATCCCCTAATGCTCCAAATCCAATCTCCGATTCATCAATGTGTTGTGGTGATTGTCCATAGTATCTTGTGGGTGAGTTTCCAAGTAACGGGGTTGTGGACTCTTCTGTTGCAGACTCATTAAACGACGGTTGTCCCATCTCCAATGGTAGATCCTGCAATTGTGCATCATCACTATCATTCTCACCACCTTCTATGACCCCAATATCTGCCAAGCCTGCTGTTTGTTCGTGGACTTCGGCCCCACTATTGACCTGGGGAAAATTCATATTCGCAAGCAAACTTGGTCGGTAGCTCATACTGACGTAACTTCTGCCACCAATGTCAAAGTTGCTATTGTTGTTAATATTGAATGCTTCACTAATGGAATAATTTCTGGTTCTGCCTGTCGCCGCTTGTTCGTCTGAAACGTAAGTGTGGTGTTCTGCGTCAAGTGTGGCACTGGCTGGCTTGTTGCTATTATTGTTGCCGTCATTCTGAATACGGAAGGGGGAACTCATTGCTTTTATATCAAAGAAAAACTCGGCCCCAAGTTGGCTTCAAGAACAAAAACCAAAAAAAAGTCAAAAAAGTCAAATAAATAAAGTGTATTGGTTTCCACAAGAAGTTAGAAAGTGAAAACGAGGAAAATGCCCAGTAATGTGAATTTTCAAAACCTTGTTTATATTAGTAGAAAGTTGTGTTTGGTGAATGCTATGAATGTAGAACTTAACTGCCAATAATGTAATGACAAATAAATATTAATAAATATAAACAAATCAAACAAATGAGACAACGAAATATTCAATTCTTAAAGTGCAAGGTCAAAATTGGCTGTTTTCGTCAAGGTGACAGTTTTTTTTTTTTTATTTAAATTAATTATCTTTAGATTATTTCACAGAGTGAAGTTTGGACTGAAAGCAGAAAAAAAAAAAATATCCTCCTGAAAAATTTTTCCTTAACGTCACCAGCAACCCCCCCGTTTCGTTTTTTTGGGAATTAAACTCGCAACAGTAAAGTATTGTATTCCGTATAACTTGGTACGTGTGTATGTGCTCATATCAGTGCAATTATTAAGGAGATCAGGCATTTCTGATAGGTTCATTCGGTGGTGATAACCACTGTCCCAAAATTCGCGGTTTCCTTCCAAAAACTAGTAATCTAATCTAAATCAGTTTCCCGGTAATTGTGAAACGACACAATCTTTGTCGGTAATGATTCCGGTGTTCTAAACATCCACGTAGGGCTCAATCGTGCCCTTAAGAGATCCAGAATGACAAACACGGTTGATTTCCAGTAACTCCAACAGAGTTATGGTCTCACACAGAGAGATATAAGTTGAAGCTAACACGACTTTGACATCACTGATTTTTCTTTAAACAAGAAACTTCAGCCAACTACAAAGGCACTCTGTCTCGTCTGTTGATCCGAGCCAAGGAGTATAGCATAAATAAAAACCCTTAAATTAGGAGCAGCCACGTGACCCTGGGATGCAAAAGGGAGTGTAAAGAACAAAAGTAAATTAGAAAAATTTTCTTCTCTTTCTTTGTCTTTAGATTTGTCACACAAAAAGAAAATCGCTTATGTTTTTGGATTTTTTGCACGCACACATCTCTCTCTCGCTCTTACAGGCTGAACATCAGCGATCCATTCTTCCTGTTTTTTTTTTTTGTTGTTTTTTGTTTTTTGTTTTTTGATTGTTCATCGCGCTTAGCTCACTGACTCATTACCCTTTTTGGATGGAAATATTCCCAATTACTTAAGAGCAAATCTCAAAATAAATTTCGATTTTATTTTGATAAAACACATGTATTATTTCTATACTCTATCGAAAATATAAATTTTTATTATTGGAATGAATTTTTCCATGAACCAGTCATTTGAATAATTCACCGTATTCTGGGTTGGAAATCTTTTCATAAACATTAGCAGTCCAGCGTCTAAGTCTCTTTCCAAATATGATTAAAATAATAAAACTTCCATTGATGACAACTGATAACATAAACATTAACCAAGTTGTCACTGTAAGTCCGTTTCTTTCAATCCATGGCAGAATAGCAAAAGAAAATCCCATTCCAATCATATTTCTTATGAATAACATAAGAACAATACCTTCACTTGCCAATTTGGGATATGAATCAACTGCATAGGTAATGCAAATACTACCTGAACTACTCATTGCAAACCCCATGGCACCTTGACCGAGAACCACTGAATATGCCCATGATTTGCCACTAGCACAAGGAAGCCAATAAGCTAACAAACCACAAGCATTAACAATAGTGGGTACAACCATTGCCCAGAGTCTAAACTCAGGCTCCAAGATCCCTTTATTTCTTTTTGCTAATTTAATAGAGAGCCAATCAACAAAGTTACCACCATAAAAAGTTCCTAACACGGTTCCTACCAAACTCCCCAAGTTCGTCAATCCAACACTACCTGCAGAAAAGTTGTAGGGTTCGGAGCCATAAATCAACACTTGGGTATTGGCAACCAACAGCAACCACATCATTTGACTTCCATATACAATACCACCAAATACAAATGCTGGAAAATACCAAGCAAAAAACGGTCTGTAAAATATACATAACCAACTTCTTATATCATTTTGATCGGTATGAACCAAGTTCATTCTCTCCACATATGATTTTCTTGAGACTGTTATTGATCCTGAAGTTTCCAGGTCTTCATCATATGCTATTTTTTCTATTGTTCCCTTTATGTCATTGGCATTTCTATTTGTACCTTCTATTTCAGTTGATCTTATTTGTTGAATTATATCTTCTTCAAGCTCTTCTCCATCAAGATGTCTTCTGAAGGTAGTTTCTTCCATGGAAAATAACTGCACCAAAAAAAAGGACAGATAAATAATTATTTGAATGTAGAAACACCAAATCCAACCGATCCCATCGACAATGTAGCCAGCAATAATAGGACCTATGAATGAACCAGCATACAAGGCAAGTACCAACAGGGCAATCACAGTTGATCTTTCATGTTGGAAAAACAAATCCGTGGCACTTAACTCAACTAAACTATCACATGGACTCGCTGCAAGCCCAACTAGAATCTTGAAAGCATATATTGAATCAATGGAAGTGGCTTGAGATCCAACAGCTAAAGACACAATACAAATTATTGTACCTGCAATGTATACGACTCTTTTACCTAATTTCAATGCAGTTGGTTGAATTAACAACACACCGCAACCCAAAAATAAAAATCCTAAGGCCACAGATATACCTAATTGATTGACTGTGACTCCGAGCTGTTCTTCCCATATACCGTAAAGTGGACCAGTCCAATTTATAGCTACTGCAACAAAGAACCCCCATATCCAGACGATTGCAAATTGAAAAATTCTCTTACTCATTGACCATGTTAACGGATCATTTGGATTAGAAGTAGGCTGTGGTTGTAAAATAATGTCTCCTTTCTTTTTGACATTTAGGTTCCCATGCATATCAACCAAATGAACAGTCCCTGGAACCATATCTACCAGAAGGTTATCAATTTCTATCATATTTTGCTTTTCTTTAATTTGTGCTTGTCTCTCCAAAGATGTAACACTCTTTCTTTTTTTATTTTTTTTTTGGAAAATGGTCGACTTAAATAGTCTTCTTCTCCTACTCTTGATTTATTCAAACCTTATCTACAATCTGTTGATAAGTACTTCAATTTATCTAAACGCTATGATATACCCGAAGAGGAAAAGCGTTAAGGGGCCCATCGCACATTTAAAAACCAAAAGAAAAAAAGAGCTCATGACATCAAGAACAATGACGTTGCAACAAAAATTGTCAACCACACACAAAAATACACTCGCACACATACAGATGAAATATTGATGAATTTCAACTAGTGGTGTGACACAATATGTGATATTTTTATTTGCTTTTTTTATATGACTATTATTATTTCTTTTTAATCGAACAGTAATATGCTCTGTGAAGTTTTAGTTCAACACACGTTTCAATTAATTTAAATAGAGTTTTGTCAATAATGAAATTGATATATTTTTGACATTGCATTTCGAAAGCGCAATTGCATCCCCTATGTAAAATCCGCACCATGTTGAAGAATTTGGATTCATGCTTCCTTATCAACAAAAAAAAAAATGAAACACATTTTCTTATCTCTAATGGTTATAGATTAACAAATTCGGTTAAAATCTTGGTAGAGAACTAACAGTGTAAAAGCTGAAGAGCAGGGGGGAATTGTATCCCGGCGTTAAGACATATTTTACCGTTATCTTCTTTTACTATCCCCCACATAAATATATGTGTATCGGATAAAGTTGACTAATTGGTCAAAATAGTTGATAGCAGTATATTGATCGATTCTTGATAAGTCAATATATTCCATCCCCGTCCCTTCAAATCGTTTATTGTATTTACTACAGATCTTCCTCTACTGTAGTATAATTAATCAACTTTGGTTACTAAAGCAGAAAAACAAGCATGCAATTAGAGGGAATTAGATCAAGTTTTAAGAACTGTATCTGTATATTTTCTTATTATCGTTTACTATTATATATGTATAAATTCTCTTTTTGTTTTCATTTTATTATTGTTTATTTTTTCTATCATTGTACAATTTGTATATTCTTCTAAAACTTTAGTAATAAATCTAGACCGGCTTTCCATGAATGAACTCACTCCATCTTCTAACTTCTTCTGGTACTTCAACCTTGTGTGGTAATTCATCAAAGGAAGCTTTGTGACCAATCTTTTCTTTCAAACATTGGGCAAACAACAATGAAGTATTTGGTTCATTAAACAATGGAATAGCAAAATCAATGGCATTTCTTCTCATAACATAGTCTTCATCCAACAAGTTTTCTGCTCTTGCTCTTGCCAAATTGAAAACACAACCAATTTCCTTATCTTGGAAAATTTCTCTCAAAGCACGCTTATCTGTCTTTGGAAATTCAATAATTTCAACAACTTCATTAACATAGTTCTTCAAGTAGTTTGCAACTGGTTCACTAGCAGTATAAAATTTGTAACCCAATCCAGTAATTTGTTTTGCTACGTTTCCTAATTTTTCATTAGTCAAATCACCACCAAATAAGATACCCTGACCTGGTTTTGGAAGATGGAAGTTCATAGTTGATTGAATAGAGGTCCAGTACGCTTCAGTCAAATTCTTACCAAAACAAGCAATTTCACCAGTAGATGACATTTCAACACCCAAGAATGGATCAGCACCTGCCAATCTGGTGAAAGAAAATTGTGGAACTTTGGTAGCAACTCGATCGTATTTCTTGTTCATTAAATTGACTGGTTCTGGAACATTTTCTTTAATCAAAGCTTTAACTGCGACTTCAATAAAGTTAACACCTAAAACTTTGGAAACAAATGGGAAAGAACGAGAAGCACGAATGTTACATTCAATGACCTTCAACTCACAATTAGCATCATCTAAAGCACCGTTTTGATCATTCTTGATAATTTGCATATTGAAAGGACCAGTAATCTTCCAAGCTTCAGCAACCTTGTCGGAAATTTCTTTCAAACGATCCAATAAAGTTTGGGATAAAGCTTGTGGTGGCAAAACCAAAGTAGCATCACCAGAATGGACACCGGCATTTTCAACATGCTCAGAAACCGCATGAACTAAAACAGTACCATCACTGGCAACACCATCAATATCAATTTCTTGGGCACCTTGAATAAATTTGGAGATAACGACCGGATGATCACGTGAAACCTTAGAAGCATTGGATAATTTAGCTTCCAATTCACCCTTGTTGTTAATAACAGACATTGCAGCACCAGATAAAACATAAGATGGACGAACCAAGACTGGGTAACCAACTTCATCGGCAAAATCTTCGGCTTCTTTGACAGATGTCAATTCTTTCCAAGCTGGCTGGTCAACACCAATGGAGTCCAAGATTTGAGAGAACTTGTGACGATCTTCAGCCTTGTCAATATCTTCAGGGTTAGTACCTAAAACGTTACAACCTTGGTTTTGCAAAGAAAGAGCAATATTTTGTGGTAATTGGCCACCAACAGAAACAACAACACCTTCAGCATGTTCCAATTCGTAGATATCCAAAACTCTTTCCAAAGATAATTCTTCAAAGTATAATCTGTCTACTTCATCAAAATCAGTAGAAACGGTTTCTGGGTTGTAGTTAATCATGATGGTCTTGTGCCCACTTTCTCTCAATGCACGGGCAGTAGAAACAGCACACCAATCGAATTCAACAGAAGAACCAATTCTGTAAACACCAGATCCCAAAACCATAGTACCTTTATCATTGAAATCAATATCAGAGCTAGTTGCATTATAAGTAGTGTACAAATAGTTGGTGTTTGCTGGAAACTCAGCTGCCAAAGTATCAATCTTTTTAACAAATGGAACAATACCAAATTCTTTTCTGACTCTTCTGACTTCTAATTCATCAGCACCGACACACAAACCAATTTGCTTATCAGAAAAACCCAATTTCTTAGCACGACTCATCAAGTCTCTATTAATGATGGAAATGTGACCATTAGCTTCTAATTCACGGTACATGTTAACAATGTTCATCAATTTGTGCAAGAACCATTTATCAATTTTAGTTAATTCATGGACTTGATCAACAGTATAGTTTTCGTGCAATAATGCTTGTCCAACAGCTAACCATCTTCTATCAGTTGGGTTGGCCAAAGCTTCGTCTAAGTTTTCAAAATGATCACCTTGGAAACCAATGTATGAAGGGTCAATTTGTCTAATAGCCTTTTGGAATGATTCTTCAAAGTTTCTACCAATAGCCATAACTTCACCAACAGATTTCATAGCGGATCCAATATCACGTTTAACGTGTTGGAATTTGGACAAATCCCATCTAGGAATTTTAGTAACCATATAATCCAAAGAAGGTTCGAAATTAGCAGTAGTGGTTTTAGTAACTGGATTTGGCAATTCTGGTAAAGTATGACCAAGTGCAATTTTAGCAGCAGTATAAGCTAATGGATAACCAGTGGCTTTGGAAGCCAAAGCAGAAGAACGTGACAAACGAGCATTGACTTCAATGACTCTGAAATCCAAACCATCTGGCTGTAAAGCATATTGAACATTACATTCACCAACAACGCCCAAGTGTCTAATAATTTTGATAGCAGCAGATCTTAACATGTGGTATTCTTCATCTGATAAAGTTTGAGAAGGAGCAACAACAATGGAATCACCAGTATGGATACCCAATGGATCAAAATTTTCCATATTACAGACTGTGATACAGTTACCAACACGATCACGGACAACTTCATATTCAACTTCTTTCCAACCCTTCAAAGATTTTTCAACCAAAATTTGAGGAGCTAATGAAAGTGATTGAGCAGCCAAGTTTCTTAACTCTTCTTCGTTGGCAGCAAAACCTGAACCCAAACCACCAAGAGAATAAGCAGAACGAACAATAATTGGATATCCGACATTTCTAGCAGCCTCCAATGCGTCATCAACAGATTCAACAGCAATAGATTCAGCAATTGGAATATCAATTTCCTTCAAGGCACGAGCAAACAAGTCACGATCTTCAGAAGTTTCCAAGGTTTTGATTGGTGTTCCCAAGACTTTAACACCGTATCTATCAAAGACACCCATTTTGTCCAATTGAACACCAACATTCAACCCAGTTTGACCACCAAAGGTCAATAAAATACCATCAGGTCTCTCTCGTTCAATGATATAAGTGATATATTCAGCGGTAACAGGTAAGTAATAGATTTCATCAGCCAAGGAATGAGAAGTTTGGTTTGTAGCAATATTTGGATTAATCAAAATTGATTGCTTGTTGGCTTCTTTTAAAGCTTTAATAGCTTGGGAACCAGAATAGTCAAATTCCCCAGCTTGACCAATAGATAAACCACCCGAACCAATAACAAGAACCTTGGACACATCTACCAACTTGTGAGCATGTTCATCTGTGAAATTCTTCAACAAATCACCACCAGCATAATGTAATTGCTGTTGCTTTAAATAGCTAGCTATGGAGAATGAATTTTTATGAAGCAACGATACGTGCTTCTTTGAGATCTTGAATTGCTGGATAACAGCAGATTTTATACTTATCATGTTGACTATGAAATCTAACTATGAATTATAAGTAGAGTATTTGTATAAAGATCAAAAGGATGTGGAAAAAGAAAAAGAAGAAAAAGTTGTAAAAAAAAAAGGAGGTAAAAGGAAAAATTTTTACATTTTTAAATTGTGGGAGGACGTTGAAAAAAAATTTTTCCCATCCAAAAAGGGTAATGAGTCAGTGAGCTAAGCGCGATGAACAATCAAAAAACAAAAAACAAAAAACAACAAAAAAAAAAAACAGGAAGAATGGATCGCTGATGTTCAGCCTGTAAGAGCGAGAGAGAGATGTGTGCGTGCAAAAAATCCAAAAACATAAGCGATTTTCTTTTTGTGTGACAAATCTAAAGACAAAGAAAGAGAAGAAAATTTTTCTAATTTACTTTTGTTCTTTACACTTCCTTTTGCATCCCAGGGTCACGTGGCTGCTCCTAATTTAAGGGTTTTTATTTATGCTATACTCCTTGGCTCGGATCAACAGACGAGACAGAGTGCCTTTGTAGTTGGCTGAAGTTTCTTGTTTAAAGAAAAATCAGTGATGTCAAAGTCGTGTTAGCTTCAACTTATATCTCTCTGTGTGAGACCATAACTCTGTTGGAGTTACTGGAAATCAACCGTGTTTGTCATTCTGGATCTCTTAAGGGCACGATTGAGCCCTACGTGGATGTTTAGAACACCGGAATCATTACCGACAAAGATTGTGTCGTTTCACAATTACCGGGAAACAGATTTAGATTAGATTACTAGTTTTTGGAAGGAAACCGCGAATTTTGGGACAGTGGTTATCACCACCGAATGAACCTATCAGAAATGCCTGATCTCCTTAATAATTGCACTGATATGAGCACATACACACGTACCAAGTTATACGGAATACAATACTTTACTGTTGCGAGTTTAATTCCCAAAAAAACGAAACGGGGGGGTTGCTGGTGACGTTAAGGAAAAATTTTTCAGGAGGAAATTTTTTTTTTTTTTCTGCTTT